GGGCCAGCACCCAATCTGGGATTGTGATTGACAGTCGGTGTTGGATTCAACCGAACTCGCTTGAAAGGCTCCGGCATCCCAAGCTGAGAGCGGAAGGACTGAGAACCATGAGAGTCGTCCAAACGCCGCTTGGGCTGAAACTCAACGGGCTTGCGGATGCCCATCAAATCAAACGGGGCCTCCAAGACCGTCATCTGATCTGTTGGAGGTGCAGGGGCATTCTGGAAGGCCCTCGCCATCTTCTCTGCCGCATTCAGAGCATCGATAACCCCTTCGAAAATGTGTGGGGAGAAGTTGCTGTTGCCGGCCTGAACGGTGCGAATCACCGTGGTGTTGTTTGCCACTTTCACCAGGTTAGAGAGGATCTTCTGAACCTCCAAGAGGAGATGCACCACTGGCTGAGGGAACCCTGCAAAGCTATCATTGCACTCGCGGGCACCATCACTCTCAAGCAAGGAGTCCATCTGGAGGAGGCACTTGCCGAGCAACGTCTTGTCAAAGTTCTGGACGATACCGCTGGCAAGGCAACGAAGGTTGCGAATAGCAACCAGCACATCATTCAAGAGAAGGCAACGACCTTTACAGAACAAAATCCCATCTCCCAAGGCCGAAATGTCCTTGTCAAACGAATCTGCCACAACAACGGAGGAAGAGGAAGCCAAAGACGTCTGTTCATCTTTGACCAACTCAAACTCAGGAGCCTGTTGGTTGGGACGGAGAAATGTGACCAACGAAAGCTGTTTCTTGGCTGCACTGCCGCCCTTGACCAAAGAGAGACTGAGCCAGTTGAAGCCACGAAGAGCCTTCGTAAAACTGGAGTTGATCACCTGGGAACTCCAGAAAACACTTCGGTCGCGGTAGTTCATGCTTTGGCGAGACTCTGTAATGAGAGACTCGACCCACGAACTTACGGCTTGCTGGGCAGGGGAAGGCTGAGTGGGAACCAGAACTGCCTCGAAGTCAGGCTTGAGGACGGCTGGGGTAAAGACACCATCATCGTAATGACCGAAGAAGATCTGGTAGCAGGTTTTGGTCCGGAGCATCTGGGTAGCATGCTGCCGTTCCGATCCGGACCTGGTGCTGGTGTTGGCTCTGATCATGGACTCGGTCATGGTAGTTCCAAATTCCCTGAACATCTCGGGGAGATCCGATGGCGTTCCACCGGGAGCGCCAGGGGTGGCACCAGGGGGAGTCACTGGGACTGGGACCTCTACCGTTGCACCAAGCTCTTTCCAGAGAGCATTCGAACTGAACTGGATAGTGGCCTTGACAAGGGCCGAATCGAGGTCGTTGAAAGTCATCTGGATGGCTGAAGCCTGGATGGACCTAGGGTCCACGAGGGTGTGCTTGTCAGTCCAGGAGGTGATGTCAACGGCATCCATCTTGAAGAGAGTTCCAGCGCCGGTGACAGAACGACTGTCACAACGCTTTGCCAAGTATTGCTGGGCACGGAACCATTCTTGGGCGTAAGGCCAGTTCGACACCGTTGCCGGATCGGAATCGAGGGTGGCCGCAAAGTCGAACTGAACTCCCCTCGGGAGTGGTAAGATCAGTGGCAACAGCACCAGCCAAGGCTGGGTTTTTGCATCGGCAGTGGCACCCTCGAACTGGAGGGCTTCCATGCCAACCACGACTGGGGTCTCCTCCGTACTGGCAGAAGCAGCCAGCTCCGAAGCCGGATTGGCTTCAAAGTGGACCAGCTTCAAGTCGTCAACGACCTGCTTGGAGGCCAAAGAGGTGACGAAACCAGTAAATGCATCATGGGGGACACGAACGGGAATACTCTCACCGATGGTGTCACTGATGCTGGCAATAACAGAGACGACATTGTCCTTCTCTGCCAAAGTCGGTGCAGTCAGGGGCTGGACCTTGCCGTCGATGATACACACCGACTGGAGGGAAAACGACTGGTTGAGCCGTGCCGCATCAAGGCTCTGACCGCTGAATCCCATGGGATCAAACAGGTCCTGGAGCTTGGTGGTAACAAACTGGCGGGTGGCTTCATCAGTCAACTCCAAGATAGCCTTGGAGACGGACTTGATCTCGTGGGCCTTGCCACGCACTAGAAGGTCAGCAGACATGGCTGGGGATGGTGCTGGAAGGAGTGTTGAAGTGTCGTTGGTGGGACAATTCAATGACTCAATGAACTGTCGGCAACAATGCTTTTGAGAGCGGCAACAACAGTCAGGAACTGGATAAAGGCAGAACCAGCAGCAAAAGCACCAGGCAAACAGAACTGGGGCTGGAGTTGGACAAAGCAAGGACTCACAACAACAGGACAGCAACTGGAAGGGAGGCAACAACTGGGAGGCAGGCAACTGGAAGGCAACAAGAGAGCAGGATGCAGTGGTCCAAATCAGGGAAGGCTTGTTTGGAAGCTTTCAGGATTGGGATTATGACCTCATAGTGTTGCACTGCATAGCCTGGAATGGAAGGAACCAGGGCCACCACCACAGTAGCACAGACAGGTACTGTTGCTGTAGGATTGCACAGGGCTTGAACCCAATCCAAGAAACCCAAAGGCTACCAGCCAAGTAGCTTTTGAACTGGGGATCTATTGCAATGAGTCAACCCCAATCTCTGACACAGGTGCCTGGTCAGGTACCAGCCTGTCAGGGATACCAAGGGCTGTCACTGTAATGGGTGGTGTGGCTGTGTAGTGTGTGGTGTAGCACTGAAACAGTCAGTGGTAGTGTGTGGTGTAGCACTGAACAGTCAGTGGTGGTGACCAGACATAAGTCTCGCGGCGCACCAAGTCATCGGTGGTTGGAAGACTTAAGGGGCGGGGGCAGAGACTTAGAGGGCAGAGTCAGAGACTTAGAGGCCCCCATGTTCTTTTCAAGCATCGTCTTCACGCGAAGGACTTTTCATGCATCGACTTAAAATATTTCGAAAGCATGGATGAAAAACACGTCGGTAACGTCATCAGATCCGGTCACGACTGACGTCATCGGGTCGGATTCCGGATTTTTAAAGTGGGGATAACAACCCAGTCACCAGTTCGAAGACATAAGGGACACCAATCTTGCCAGGAGCGCAAGACTTAGGCGGCAGATCAGTCGAAGACTTAAGGGCCGTTCTGTTGTTGTTGAAAATCGCAAAATCGCGAAGATCGACCATGGCCCTGGAGTCGGGACGCACGGCAACAGCGGCAGCCAGGAGGAGAGGATGCACTCCGGGCCAGTTGGCCGAGGAGGGGAGTCGAAGCACCAGTTCTTGGTGTCGCTCAAGAGAGGAGACGAAGCACCAGTTGGTGTCGTGGAGGTTTGGTGGGAGCACCAGTCGGTGACTCGCCGTTGGGGCTAGCGAACACCAGGTGGTGAACGCATCATAGCAGTGGCTAGCAGAACACCAGGTGGTGAACGCATCATGGCCTGAGAGTGCTTTCATGTGGAAAAAGCACACGAAAGCCTCGTGTGGAAAAAGCACACGAATCGAGTGGTAAAAGCACTCGATCTCGACAGAGAACAGGGCTCCTGTTGTCAGACCAATGGCCGAGAGCAGTAGCAGTAGCAGTAGCAGTAGTAGTAGTAGCGGGAACAACATGCTAGTAGCCGTAGCGAGTAGCCGTTCGAAAGAAAAGAAAAGAAAAGGACGCCATTGTCCTCTTCGATTGGTGGCTACTAGCAATGTGTGGCTTGGATTGGCTCCTACCGACTGATCAATCCCCTTGAAAACCCTAACTCTATCTACGGTGACGTACCAGTCCAGGCAGGAGCAAGTGTGCTTCCACATTGCTCTGCTTAGAGTCATGGCGATAGCCCCCAGTGCTGGAATGAACATCATGTTGAATTGTGGGATTTGGGATGACGATACGCACTACGTGTACAGTCCGACAGGCATCCAGGGCATTCGCAGCGTCGAGAGCATTCTGGGGATGAAGCTACTTGGACAGCCAGACATCGACGCTTGGCAGACTTACTTTTGGACTTTGGCAGATAAACCATTGAAACTGCCCTTGAAGAAGGACATCACAACTTGGTTGCACCAACTGTTTCTGTTGACAGTCTTACCGAGCCAGCGAGATGCCAATGCAAGAGTTCTTGTCGAGAGTTACCCCAATACTCTTGCGCTCTTCGTCCGAGTTTGTGAGTTTTGCGTGCATCGCCTCGGATATCCACTCCACTGGATCTCTTGTGTGCTCGACGAGATCTTGGCTTCCACGGCCGCAAAGCCATTCAACACAGAAGCTCGTGTTGCCGAGGAATCCCCACCCCGGTACCAGTACCAAAGCGGAACAAAGAACAAGGTGAAGTGTTGGGCCGTACTGTCTTGACCTTCGCACACAACTAGCTCTGAAAATGCAATGCAAGCGGGAAGAAACACCAGCACTGCTGCCACTGGAATTGTCCCTCTTCACGGAACCAGTGTGTAAGTATGAAGTGGTCATCCCGGTTGACCTCACCATGCAAGGGTGCAGCCTGCACCATGGTGACTGTCACAGCACGGCCCTTGGCCTTATTCTGGAACCATCGAAGCCAAAATCACTCAGTGAGACTGAAATCGCATCATTGAAGTACGCATTCATGATGGGACATGGAGGCTCGCCGGAATCAATCCGAAGAAACATCCTGGCAATGGACTCCAACGTCCAGTTACTCTCATGTATCGAATGGGTGCTAGTGGGCTTCGGCGAGTCAAACTGCATTCGGTTCTGGATGGCGGAGTCCGATTTCTCCAAGTATGGAGAACATTATCTATCCATCTTCAGAAGTGATGGATGGTTTCGTCTCGGCAACTCCACCCAACTCTCTCAGGCAACAAAGGCAACGGTACAGTAGAGACATGATTGGCTGAACTTCGCGCTTCCGGCATTGGAGTGGAGTCTAACAGATGATAGCAGTAATGTCATAACGGAAACCAAGTCAGCCTCATCGGACATGGTACGGGGTATGCAAGCGGGTGCTGCTCGCCCCGTGCTTGCAATGCGCACTGGTGCGGTCCCTTACAATTGGGATATCACTGCCCAAAAGTGAAAAGTCTGCAGAAGAGTATAAACGAAGCCATTGAGATTGACAGTGAAGGTGTTTCGTACTTATCTTATCGTTATAGCGCTTACAATTACAAACAAATATCGAGATTGTGTTTTCATACGATAACAAAGCAGCATGACTTTCCAAATACACTACAATCAACAAAAAATGTATCGATGACCTCATCCTTGTTTCTTTCCGACCAACTCTCGGTTGACAGCTGACGCAAAGGCACGTTCAATATCAGCCGCTGGTACACCCTGCCTGTCCACAGCAACGTGAAGGGGTGGCCCCGTAGAAGCGGCCCCAATTGATGACAGGGAATCGCCCCTGCTGTGGCTTCGCAAACGATCACCCCTAGGGAAGCGGGAGGGCATACTGGGGTGTCGGACATGACGCGACTCTACGCTGATGGCGGACGTGGAACTCATCATCCGAGCCTGCTCCAAAAGATCGGGGTGATCCACCGACAGCTGCCCGATTGTGGCAACGCGCATGACTCTGCTTTGGCTACCGTAGCTATCGCTCCTGGCGTGACGAGCACTGGTGCTGCCGGTATCACCAAGACTCTTGTCGGACTGTCCTGGCTTCACCGCAGCTCGGTCCCTTTGGAATCTCTTTCCGAAGTCAACATTTGGCGCGCTTCGAATACGCCTATGCTTCTTCTTCTTGATTTCATCTTCACTTTCCAAGGGTGTTGAAAGCAGTGCGTCCAGACCAGCATCCCAATTTACAGAATTGGGTTTGCTCGAATCTTCCTTGACTGAATTCAAATCACCGCTACTAGTCTTCTTCCTGTCCAATGGCCTCGGAGGCAATGGACTTGACCCACGGCTCCTGGCGGACTGAGTCGACTCCGTGGAAATCTCGCGTTCTCTCCTGGATGTTGTGTAGTCGGCAGTCGCAATCGGTTCAGGGGCCGCTGCCGTCGGCTTCGCGATTGGGCTTGTGTTGCTTGCCAGATCCACATGGCCCCGACTGTCATCAGCTTGTCGTAACAATGGATGTGCACCCGTGGTTGCCGCTTCCTTGGGCGAATCCAAGTCATCTTCTGACATGTAGTCCCCGTCTTCGTCATATGAGTCCCCGTCGTAAAAGTCCTCTTCACTAGCGTAGTCCACCATAACCATCGGCATTCCTTCTTTCCCTGGCTCGCAAAGCACTTCGGGAAGTGCCATGATATCCACGCGACTTCGTTGAGCTTTGTAGAAGACGGTACGACGGGAAACCAGCAGTGAAACAAATACAGAAACCACAAGGAGTGGAAAGACTGCCGAATAGTCACCACCACCACCAGTACCCCCTGCTGATGCGTCCTCTGGGTCGAATGCGCTGATTGTCAGCGTCAGGATGAGCATGATGGCTGTGTGTGCTCGAAAAGTCACGACATGCGTACTTCCCATGGTACACAATATGGTAACACACGGGTACGCCGCAAGGGTGGCCCCAAACCCAATTCTGTCGCTGAGCCATAAGTTTACATCGGTGAGGAAGTGACTAGCGGCGCAACCCGAAAACAGCGGTCCCCAGAAGTGCCCACCAATTATACCAGTTCCTGAGCAGGCAGAAATAAAGATTGCAGAAGCAGGGAGCGCATCGTAAGCCTTTCGCCTGCACGGGAAGCAGAGGTAGACACGGAGACAGAAGAACTTACCAAGCGACAGCCCCGTAACAACTATCTTGGCCATGGTTATGAGAAGAGAGCACCCCATACCAAAGCCAGCTTTCACTGCTTCGGCGTCCTACGATACCAAATGACATTGGAAAAGAATTAGATCCCTCCGTAAAGAGAAAAATCGAACTTGGGAGGAAGGCACTCACGTTCGGATCAATAAGGCAGAAGGCCTTCGCGGTCAGTGCTGCTGTCGGCTCATCCTCCTGACCAAAAACAGGCAAGGGCGTGCGTCCTTTGTCTATCAAGGTTTGAAGCTGAGCTTCTCCCCAGAACATTACGTGTGGAACAAACCTAGATTGATGGAAAGCGAACATAAACAAGTAGAGTTGGGAGTGAGAATGGGCTGTACGAGCACGCTGTAGACGGTTTTTGTAAGACAGGATAGAATGGCACGTACATGCAAATGACGCCAACCATGGCACCGGCAACAACCCCGGCAGCTGCAGCACGGGTCGGTTCGTGCGGGATCACGCAACAGAAGTATTTCTGAGCCTTTTCAGCTATCCTACGGTGGAGCGCCAGGGTTGGAGGGGCTGACTTCGTTGTTTTGACCGTGTTGCCATTCATTAACGGCGTCTTTTCGTCGTGATGCGGAACTGAATTACCCTTGCCATCGGGTTGATTGAAAGTATGTTCGTCATGTGCTGCGTTGCCATGATCATCATGATGCTCATGGAAGAAATCGTGAACAAGACCTTTCAGCTTGAGCACTGATCGAGCATAGATCGTCCCAACGAATGCTCCAAAAAGCCCAAATACAATCGCACTCGAGAAGATCTCACTCGGAAGGGAAGTAGTTAGAAAGGGGTAACTACAGCAACGAAAGAAAGGTTTAGGTTTCGCCGTAGACCAGCATGTTCGAACAACAGGAGACATACTTATAGTAGCCCGTGACATCATTTCCCGTCACAAGACGATTGCACAGAACAGCAACAATACTAGCAATCGTGGCTGGCGAAAGGGCCTCGAAGTATTGCAGCCCCATGCGATGTGGAATCTCCAAAACAAACAGAGCACCTAGACGGCAAATACCGGGCAAGTGGTTAAGAAGATCCACCCAACACGTTCACGGGCCACAAAAGCTGCCGACCCAGAATGCGACCTACCTGCCATGGGAAACCTGAGTTATTGTGATTGACCAGTTAAACCATGACATCTTGGGTTAGAAACACAAACGGGGCAAAATATGTAAACATCCTTGGAATGACGTACCCAAAGAAACCCCCCACAGCCGCACTGGCACATGTGATGTTCATTGTGCGCGCTTGAAGAATACTTTGCTTGCATCTTATGCCCAGCCACGAACCGATCATCCCGGCGGTCAAGACAAGTGGCAACTCCGGACCCAGAGACAATCCTGACGCCATTCCCAGGGTCGAAAGAACAAAAAGCTGGAAAAATGTCTCCGAGTCTTGCACTCCCATCAAATGAACTGCTGTAATCCACTCGTTTTGGCCAGGGATGGGGGTTGGCAAGGCCGCAAAGATGTAGGATAGAATACCTGCCCAAATTGACGGGCATATCCACATGTAGTGGTAGAGCGGGAAAGATCCATCCAATTCCGTGAAGACACCCCATTCAAGCAATGCTTCTGGTAACTCTTTCCACATGAACTCGACACTGTGTTCGATTATTTCCTTCCAAAAAGCGGTGTACAAACCCATTAGAATACCGAGAACAACGGCCCAAGTGTGCTGTTGTAATGATGAAAACTCCGGGTAGTAGGGATTGAAGAACAACCACCTCACGAGCCCCGCAATGGTGTACTCCGCACTCTCATCAAAGTAGCGGGCACCATCGGGGCTCACTTTGGCGTCTTTTGTCAGCCACCGAACAAGCCAATCGGTGGGATCAATCAGGTCAAAAATGGAATAGCGCTCGTCGGCTTCGCTCTCTTCTTCCGGCTCGTCCTCAAATCTCTCCTTGGCCGGTGGAGTGGACGAGTACGGAAGCGTATGTCTCGCAGCGACTGGATCAGGATCCTTAGCCACGGGTAACGGACCACTGTCGAATTTGAGCGGATGAGCCCCACTGTCAGATGTTGAAACTGCCCCGTAATCGGCGTTGTGGAGCATGGCCGCGAATGAGGCGATTTCCTGCTGTTGGTGCTGCTGGCTAGAGTTATCGCTTTGACCAGAAACCTTTTTCGCATGGGTCGGCTTCCCGCCAGCACTTCCTTGGTTGTACAGGGATGCAGACGATTGTTTGTCCAATATGGCAGATCCAAGCAGCGACTGCCTCTTTCCTTGGTTGTACAGGGACCCAGATGACTGCTTGTCCAATATTGAGGACCCCAGCAATGATTGCCTGCCGGCTGGTTCAGGGCCTCCTCTCACCAGATTGGCAAAACCGCCATCGCTAAGTTCACTGAGAAACAAGCTGTTGTCACGGTCAATCTGACTCAACATTCCTGCTACATCCTCTTCCAAATCGGCGGACCCTTCACTGATACGAAGACTGTCAGTGGTCATGATGCTGGACCGCATGAAACTTGTCTGCCTGCCTGCAGAATGATCCAATTGCTCTCCTGGACGTGGAACATAACCATGATGTTCAGAATCATCAGGAATAGTTTCCAACTGTGACGTCTTCCTTCCTGCAGTGCCTGGAGGCGATAGTCCCCGTCGGCTGGTTTTTGGTTTCGCTGTAAGGGGTGACGTTCCACCTCCCATCAACTCATTCATGTCGACATCTATGCCAAGTCCTGCAATTGCCATGGAAGCCACATCTCCCAAATCAGATCCGGTTCCACTGGTTTTGGGAGGTTGCTTTGGAGGGGATCCATCCTTGGGTCGCCTGGCGGATCTACGTCTTCGCGGACCTTGTTGACCATGCTCACCATGTGGATTGTGGTGATGTGAGAGTGCACTACCAACCAATTCCTGGTTTTGGAAAAACGCCCCAAAGGTCGAACCATCAGAAGCCGTTCGGACACGACGGGCTTGGGACTCTTCCCGAATCTGTTTTGATGTCTTTCGTCTTACTGGACGTTGAGCAGGAGGAGAAGGTGGGGGGATCCCCGTTTCGGGGTCTGCGCTGATTCCACCGCCAGCGAAGGGCAAGTCATTTTGTTTGGACGCCATCGTCGACAGATAGATGTAGCGATAGATTAATGTTTGGGATCTTGATAGAGCACTTCACTTCAGTTTCGGTGGCCTGAATATCGAATAAAGTCTTCTTTGCAACAAGGAGTTGACACGCTGAACGGTATTGATTGCTGATGCTTCGGACAAACTCAACAACGAAAATTCCAAAAAGGGTCTCACGTGCACCTCCAACTTGACTCGTACAAAAGTCTTGATTCAATTGAAGCAATGAAACCTATCTTCCACAAACTTGTTGACGGAAGAGTTAGAGTTGGAATGGACTTTAAACGAGAGATTAATCTCCAGCTCAACAGAGCAAGGCAGAATCAATGTCTTTAGCTCTGATTGTCCTTCAAGTCGGCGATTTTCTCAACAAAGACTCGAGGTTGCCACTACGCTTCAACTAACTCTTTATGGCAAGCAAGCTAGCTAGATAGCTACCCGTCGCCAATCGAGTGTTGTTGTTTTGTGAGATCAAACGATCAGCAAATTGTTTTGATAATGATGGTCGAAGTGTGGGGTACTAGTCTAGTATCTGAGATCTGAATGAGAGGGTGATGGGTGATGTGGGGAATAATACTGGCACGACGACGCATCAGTCAACGAAAAAGAGAGTGCGGCAGGCGCACAAATGGATACACTTACTTGTACTAGTAGTCTAGGTAAAAGCTGAAATTTAGGTTTGTATGAAACTTTTGTTTTTACCGCATCTTTCAGCCTGAATTTCCAGGCTGTCTTCCTTTGACATGGGGATCTTCCGCAAAATAAATCATTAAATAGTAATAATAGAACTCAAGGTAGACTAAAAAGCTATGTTCCCCGTGCCAGCTTTTACACGGAAGGTTTGCAGCTCATCTACAGTATTAATGTCTCCAGTCTCCATGGAGACTGCTGCCTACATTGGAACACTGGCAAGATCTTTGGCCAGGAGAGGGCAAGTTACCACAGTAGTTTAACTTCTTTTTGGTTGCCACAGGCTAAGTTGCACCAGCTGAGTTCGTGATCTGGTCTTTCATGTCAGTCGCTCGTGCTAATGGGGAACATCAGCTGGAGAGCAAGAGAAAGTAGACAAATGTATCCTGCAGGACATTGCGACTGCTGCCAGGTCTCTGTTAGCGCCCATGCTGTTGTTTCAACTTCGCACATCTGTATCATACCGGCCTGCACTGTTGAAGGATCCGCCAAATCGAATCAAGGCAAAGCAAGTTTGAAGGTGTTGCATTGAGCAGACCACTGCCGGAATCAAATACCGCCGCCATAGCAAAGCAAAAACGAATGCAACGCAGCGAACAATCGTAGGCTTTGATATCTGTTTGTCTGTGGCTGATAGGTTCCTCACGATGGAAAGAAAAGCACTGTTGAAAGAAGGATAAACAGACTGCTGCTTATGCTGGGAAACCGGTACACTGTAGGTAGCGGTATTAAGGATCCGAACCTCTGGTTTCAGCGTCCAAGCAGCTTATTGTTTTATACGTCGCTATTTAAGAATGAAATCTCATTTGAGAGGTGAAACGGTTCTCATTGATTTAATATTTCAGCTGCGCTTTAAAACTTAACCCTGACGTAGGACGTAGGAAAGGGAAAGACGAGGATGGATAAACCTTGAGTCACAACCGGAAACAGCGCCTCATACATCAGCACTCTGCCACCCTCCAAACGACAGATAGGAATTGCCTGTTGGACTCTGACGATTGACTTTGGTCTGTCTAGAGCTAGCTAGCTAGAACATTTGCTTCTTTCGGAAGCAACGCGAGACTTCGTTTGGAAGGAACGACTTGTAGTTGCTAGCTAGACTAGATGTGTTTGGGGGGAGAATTGTACAGACCGTGATACACAACAACAAGAACAAGTCAAGGAGAGAAATGTCGTCACCGACTCCTTCTGGACCCGCTTCAGGGGATAGCGGAGGTCCAAGCAGTCACACTGAGTCTTCTGATGTTGTAAAGGGAACTGGTACCAATAGAGGTCCTCTAAATCCAGCAGGAGAGTCGGCAACTGCAGAAGCAGAATCGCATCGAACGCAACAACAACCACAAAGAAGAAGAAACAGTAGATCATCCACTACGACTACTCAGTCCGGATGGTTAGTTACATCGTGCGACGTGGGCACAGCGGAGCCTCAGAGTCTCTCTGAAGAGTTGGAACGCTTACAAGTCCTGAAATCGTATCACCTGATGGACTCTGAACGAGACGAGAGTATTGATCGTCTGACCAGAATGGCAGCCACTGTCTTGGACACGCCATACACATTCCTGAGCCTAGTGGACATGGGACGGATATGGTTCCGCTGCAATCAGGAGTCTGACTGCGAACAGCAGCTCACAAGAGACATGCTCTCGAGCCTCGCCAGAATCATCATGAAGCAGAATACTATCTTTGACATACCCGACACTGCAAGGGACGAAATGTTTCAAAAGAGCAGCGCTGATAACAGCAGCACCAACAACAATTCATCTACGACAAATACCATCCCTCCTCGATTTCGATTCGTTGCGGGCGCCCCCCTTGTCTCCCCAGAAGGGTACCGACTAGGCGCCTTTTGCATGCTAGCGACACAACCGCGGCCAACGGGGGCAACGGAAGCAGAAAGAGAAAACCTAAAGGAATTCGGACAACTCATGGTCAAAGCCATGGTTGATCGACGGAAGCTTACCACGCAAGGGAGTCCGTCCCATTTGGTCGCATGTACAGCACATGATCTCATCACTCCCTTGACGGGAATACAGTTGTCTCTGTCGTTGCTGCAACAGGACGGGGAATTCCAGGCAAAGCTAGGGGACAAACGGAGAGAGTACACATCCGCCGCCGTGCGGAGCTCGAATATGATGCTACGGATATGTCAGTCCACCATTGAAACGCTGCGGGGGAATCGAAAAATACCATCCTCTTCCGCAGATTTCTCCTTGCCACGCAACCTTATGCATCTCGCGGAGGCGTCGCCTTTCATTGACATGAAAGAATTCGCGGCCAACTTGGAAGTCATCAGCAACAGCATACCCAAGCGAGTACCACTGACCATCGCACTGCATCCGTCAGCACCCACAAACATTGTCAGTGACGGGCTCAAGATATTTCGTTCCGCTCTCAATCTACTCTCGAATGCATGCACCCGCGCGAACAGTGGCTTCATTTCATTAACTATATTCGACGACGAAGATGGAAGCCTCGTGTTTGAATGCGAAGACACGGGCAAGGACGTCGAAGTCAGAGATAGTCAAGTTCTCTTTAGCCAGGACATTGATAACTCCAACTTTGGTCTATACTCCGTTGCATACCAAATCAATTGGTTGGGAGGTAAATACGGAGTGAGACGACGAGGCGCAACGAGAATGCACCCGGGGGAAACAACAACAACAACAACGACTCTCGTAAATGGTGCACGTGGCAGTGCTCGCAGGATGGGCAGTGGGGTAGCCGAGGCCGGCACGGAAGGTCAGAATCACAGCGACAACCAAAGGGGGGCTATTTTTTGGTTTAGCATACCGATTGTCCTTCCACAGGACGTGTCCGAGCTTGTGGGACTTGCAAAGTCGCTTTCGGGCAAAACAAGCGATGGGAACAGTATACCTACGTTCAAGGCGGACTTACCGTCGACACCGCCCGCAAGCCCCATCATCGAGGAAAACCCAGATTCAGAGTCACCACCAACTGTACCAGAAGAAGCAGATGGCGATGCCGTAGAGACAACGCGAACGTTCAACGCGCTCATCATCGAGGACTCAACAACGGTGCGAAAAATTCTGGGGAGGGCTCTTTCGAAATTAGGGTACCAGGTCTTTGAGGCCGTCGACGGAATGGAGGGCCTGAGAGAACTCAAGGCAACAATGTTTGACATGGTGTTATGTGATTTCTTAATGCCAGTGATGGATGGACTGGACTGCGTACAGCAATATCGCGAATGGGAGGCTAGGCATCGAAAGAACTTTCGACAATACATCATTGGAATATCCGCACATGCTAGTCGAAATGATATTGAGAGGGGGCTCAATCTGGGAATGGATGATTTCAAACCAAAACCAATCATGCTTAAAACGCTGACGGGACTCCACGAGAGTGCCTCGCTGAAAACTGTTCGATCAGCATTGGACCGGCTCTTGAGTGCTCCATCCCTTACAAGGAAAAGAAGATCCGGCGCTAAACCGGTGGCAGAAAATGGGAACAAGAAGACACGTTTCGCGCTTCCTGCGGAAAGCATTTCGCAGAGGAAGTCGGCACATTTCTCGATTCCTGTTGCTTCAGTAGCGCATGATGCGACATCAACGCCGCTGTTTGTTGTGCCTAAGACGCCCAGCCAATTGCAAATGGAAGCCGGTGGCAGCGACCAACCGAAGGCCCTGTTTTCCATCCCTCTACCCCCTAGAAGAAATAACGAGAGAAGGTCAAGCCCCTCGCGGAAGGAAGCGCAAAGACTTGGCAACAAACCTGCACTCTTTGCAGTCGCTGACAACGGAGGCTCCTCCAACACGAGCGAAGGAAACGATGTCAAATCAAGCACTACCATGAAAGGCGGTCTGTTTTCCATATCAGTCAACCCAAGCAGCGCCGATGGAACGAGAAAGCCTTCGTCCCGTCCATTGTTCTCTATTCCGACGCATCCAAGCATAGATGCAAAGACAAGGGAAGGCGCGGCCAAGAAATCGGCCGCTCTGTTCCAGCAGGATGCCGCAAAGAAGCCCGCTTCTCTCTTTTCCATTCCCGTGAACCATACAGATGGAGGAAGTCAACAAACTGCAAACAGGACGTCCGCTCCTCTCTTCTCAATTTCCGTCAATCCCACCAGCCACAGCGGCGACGAAAGAAACCGTGCAAAGAAGCCGGGTAGTTCTTTGTTTTCTATTTCAGTGAACCCCACCAGCAGCAGCAACATCCAAGAAAAACAAGGTGCCACGAAGAAGGCTGTTCCATTGTTTGCCATTCCAGAAAACCGCAGCACAACCAATGCTGGGAATCAGCAAAAGTCCGAGGAAAAGAAGCCTTTGTTTGCTATTCCACAGAAGGATGGGGCAAAGCAAGGAAACCAAACAAAGACGGCTCCACTGTTTTCCATTGCAGTGAACCCACCAGCAGCAGTGGTGATGGAGAAAAGCAAGGTGCTGCCAAGAAGGCTGTTCCATTGTTTGCCATTCCAGAAAACCGCAGCACAACCAATGCTGGGAATCAGCAAAAGTCTGAGGACAAGAAGCCTTTGTTTGCTATTCCACAGAAGGATGGGGCAAAGCAAGGAAACCAAGCAAAGCCTGCTCCACTGTTTTCCATTGCAGTGAACCCCACCAGCAGCAGTGGTGATGGAGAAAAGCAAGGTGCTGCCAAGAAGGCTGTTCCATTGTTTGCCATTCCAGAAAACCGCAGCACAACCAATGCTGGGAATCAGCAAAATCTGAGGACAAGAAGCCTTTGTTTGCTATTCCACAGAAGGATGGGCAAAGCAAGGAAACCAAACAAAGACGCTCCACTGTTTTCCATCGCAGTGAACCCCACCAGCAGCAGCGGGGGGGGCAAACCTGGAAGGCTGCTCCATTGTTTGCAATTCCAGAAAACCGCAACACAGCCAATGCTGGGAGTCAGCAAAAATCTGAGGAAAAGAAGCCTTTGTTTGCTATTTTTCCACAGAAGGATGGGCCAAAGCAAGGAAACCAAGCAAAGCCTGCTCCACTGTTTTCCATTTCAGTGAACCCCACCAGCAGCAGTGGTGAGGGAGAAAAGCAAGGTGCTGCCAAGAAGGCTGCTCCATTGTTTGCCATTCCAGAAAACCGCAGCACAACCAATGCAGGGAATCAGCAAAAATTAGAGGAAAAGAAGCCTTTGTTTGCTATTCCACAGAAGGATGATGCAAAGCAAGGAAACCAAACAAAGCCAGCTCCACTCTTTTCCATCGCAGTGAACCGTGACGATGGGGGGCCCTCGAAAAAGGGTGCTCCATTGTTTGCAATTCCAGAAAATCGGAGTGCAGCCAATTGCGGGAATCAAAAGTCGGAGGTGAAGAAGGCATTGTTTGCTATTCCACAGAAGGATGGTGCAAAGCAAGGAAACCAAGCAAAGCCGGCTCCACTGTTTTCCATTGCAGTGAACCCCACCAGCAGCAGTGGTGAGGGGGCAAAACCTGTGAAGGCTGCTCCATTGTTTGCTATTCCAGAAAGCCGTAGCGTAGCCAGTGCCGGGAGGCAACAAAAGACGGAAGAAAAGAAGCCTTTGTTTGCTATTCAGCAGAATGATGGCGCAAAGCAAGGAAGCCCCACAAAGATAGCACCACTATTTTCCATCTCAATGAATCCCACCAAAGCAGCAGCAACGTTGGGGGGGGCCCTCAAAGAAGGCTGCTCCATTGTTTGCAATTCCAGAAAACCGCAACACAGCCAATGCTGGGAGTCAGCAAAAATCTGAGGAAAAGAAGCCTTTGTTTGCTATTTTTCCACAGAAGGATGGGCCAAAGCGAGGAAACCAAGCAAAGCCTGCTCCACTGTTTTCCATTTCAGTGAACCCCACCAGCAGCAGTGGTGAGGGAGAAAAGCAAGGTGCTGCCAAGAAGGCTGCTCCATTGTTTGCCATTCCAGAAAACCGCAGCACAACCAATGCAGGGAATCAGCAAAAATTAGAGGAAAAGAAGCCTTTGTTTGCTATTCCACAGAAGGATGATGCAAAGCAAGGAAACCAAACAAAGCCAGCTCCACTCTTTTCCATCGCAGTGAACCGTGACGATGGGGGGCCCTCGAAAAAGGCTGCTCCATTGTTTGCAATTCCAGAAAATCGGAGTGCAGCCAATTGCGGGAATCAAAAGTCGGAGGTGAAGAAGGCATTGTTTGCTATTCCACAGAAGGATGGTGCAAAGCAAGGAAACCAAGCAAAGCCGCTCCACTGTTTTCCATTGCAGTGAACCCCACCAGCAGCAGCGGTGAGGGGGCAAAACCTGTGAAGGCTGCTCCATTGTTTGCATTCCAGAAACCGAGCGTAGCCAGTGCCGGGAGGCAACAAAAGACGGAAGAAAAGAAGCCTTTGTTTGCTATTCAGCAGAATGATGGCGCAAAGCAAGGAAGCCCCACAAAGATAGCACCACTATTTTCCATCTCAATGAATCCCACTGCCAGCAGTGATGAGGGGGGAACACAAGGTGCTACCAAGAAGTCTGTTCCGTTGTTTGCTATTCCAGAAAACCGCAGAACATCCAATGAGGAGAAGCAACAAGGTAGCAACGAGACGAAGGTTGCGCCGCTTTTTTCGATTCCTAAGAAATCTATGCCCTCTGAGCTTGCTGCAACGAACACAAAGAAGCGCCCACTCTTTGCGCTGCCAAACCACACCGACGAAGACCATAGCATGGCTAAAAAACCAGCCTCTGCGAGCGGAATCGAAGACTCGAGCAAGAAACCTCCGCTCTTCTCCATACCGGTGAGCCCTAGCGCTGGAGTGAACAATGACAAACCTGGCGCAACCACAAATGCTCCGCTATTCTCCATACCAGTCAATCCAACAAGTGGAACGACCGGCGGGAGATCCATGACATCGGCTCTTCGCAATCCAAACGAAAATCACACCAAACAAGCCGCAAGACCCCCGCTGTTCCAAATTCCAGGGAAGGCTGGCAGCAAAGATGCCAGTAAGTCTCAAAGTGGCAGTTCGGAGAAGGATTCTCGGCCACAGAGGCCACTTTTTGATATCGGCACCAGCAAACGATAACAACGGGGTCTCCAGTGCGGCTGGACAGAATGGCACTAATTCACATTCTGGAGGTTGAGCAGATGCCTAAGAATGTACACTAGCTTCGCCCGTACAGAAGGATGTAAAATAATCTCCCCTCCTCTCTAAAAGAGCAACAGACAGTGACGAAGTTTCCATGTACATCTCATTGTCTGTTTTGGCGCTTCTTACAAAAACGGGCCGCCAGCACCCATCCATATGTTCCCTTGCCGGCTATCTAGTTACTCACAAACATCTCGTGGCAATTCGTCTGCATAGCTCTTTCTTTAAGCCTCTTTTCATGGTTGTGACTGGTGTCAATTAGAATCCTGCTCGAGTTGGGTCTCCCTCAGCTCCTGTTTGATTTGCCCCTTCAAAGAACTCAAATCTTTTTGGTAGCGGCCACTGGATTGGCGTATATCCATTTCCAGCGAATCTAACGCTTCAATATCTTGGTATAGCTCATCATACGTCTCAAACACTTCTGTTTTGAATTCATCCAGTTCACGGAGAAGATCATCAGCCCTAGAGTCTCCTGCACTTCTTGGGTCCATAACAACAGCACCTTTTCTTGCGACGGCCGAATTGACACGCCTTACTTCTCTCTTCCAAACAGGATTTCGAGATAAGTTCACTACCTCTGCTCCAACGTCCCAGGCGGCACCACCTACCTGTCGCATTGTCTCACCAGCAAATCCTTTCGACACAGCCAGCAACGCAGCACTAACTCCAGCCGCACCTGACAGAGCCAAACTGCCACCTTTGACGGCTGATAATGTTGACGCTGCCAACGCCGCACCTCCTACAGCCTTTCCCGGTACCCCCTTTTCGAGCTCTCCACTCACTATGTTGATTGTCGGGTCGTTATTCTCACCGTCACCAGAACTACCAGTATCATTATCACTTTGATCAATCTCGTGGTCGCTTCTTCGTGACAAACGTAACGAGGAAGCTCCATTCTTGGTCCTAAGCGTCCCAAGCAGACAAAATGCTGTGCATTGCCAGTGAGCAACACTGACCACAAAGAGTACGAAATATGTCTTTATCGTCATCTATTAATTGTGTCCGCCCGGTACTGTGCAGTACTGGTACCGTACCATCATACCACATGAGCTATTAGCTAGCTAGCTAGCTAGCCAGCGCTCCATTTCACAACAACAGGACCAACTGCACGATGTGTCGGTTATAAGCCAGCAAGACCATTATTTAGGTTGATTTTTATTAAAAGCCCGAGAGATTCAGAAGCTCCGTTTCCTTCCACTGTTTCAAAAAAAAATGAAGAGGGAAGGGAACCGAGAATGGTCCCTGGCACCCAGGATGCCTAAACATCACCACTAACAACAACATGCATCAAGGGGGGTTGGCAGCCAGATAAGCAACTGAATGGATCCTTCCAAGAAATAAATCGACTTTTCCTGCGCAGGCAGCTAGCCACGCAGAGGGCCGGAAGAGATTCCGAAGGTTTCCTGTCCAAGGAGGAATTTGCGATGGTCAAGGCTTTCTTTCGTACATTCGTCAAGAACAGCTATGGATGAAATCATAATGGACACATTGTACATGAGATCTACTATATACCGGCGCGGATAGCTCTGGTATAGTGGATTAAACCAGTACCGTACATTAGGTGCAACCAGTTAATACCATAGACTACTGGTAGCTCTAGCAATGTTCAATTTTCACTATGACTGGTTCCTTGGTTGCTGCTCATTTTTTGTGTTTGGCAAAATTACTAGTCAAGGAAAGCCAGGGCTTTCCGGGCAACTTCCATACCGAAGAAGCAGGCTGCATTGGCAGGGAATGCACGGATCAAAGCAGGGCGAATACCCGTGAAGAAACCTCCAATGCCCTCTGTCTTCATCACTTCGGAATATACATGCATGAGACCCGTGTACGTTCCTTCGGGAGCTGATTGGTATCGAGATTTGAGCACATCTGAAGGGATGGCCACAGTCCAACATGCCATTCCAGCCAATCCACCCGCCGTTAGAACAGCCAATGGCGACAACGTGCCTGTGGCGGGATCAATTCCTTGTACTCGCATCATTTCCTTCTTGGCGTACTCGTAGACGCCAAACCACGCCATACTACCAGGGGTGTCCCTCATGAGAGTCAAAGCAGTACCTTTGAATAAACTACGAACACCTCCCTGTCGCAGAACCTGTGTGGTACAATCTAAGAATCCTTTGTAGGGATGATTTGGGACTTGCAACAAGCATTTGATTCTTTCACTGGGCGCCATGAGAGCAGTTGTGGGGATGGCACTCAGACCACCAGCGATAACGCACTGACTGATGGACAATGGAGCAACTGGCTGATCGTCATACCATCGAACAATGCGTTGGCCCATATCGTAACCCCAGAAACTGACGGCGAACATAGGAGATACAGCGAGGAGTGGGGCTGACACCCCACGATACAACCCGGCAATTCCTTCATTTCTCATAGTTTTACCTAGCACTCCAAAAACCGAATTTCCTTTTACAACACCAGTTTGCATTCGCACCTATTTGAAGTGGAGAATTTCGGAGGCAGTATTAATGATGACACAAAACGCCCTGATCAATGGGTATTTCAAATTTGTGATGAACTCACCTTCACAAGATCAAGGGGGTGACCGACGAGAACAATGCAAACACCACCAAATCCTCCACTGAGAAAGCTCTTCAGGGCCGACTCCTCTGTGATAGAAAATGAAGCAAAAAGTGAGCAAACTATGCTGGAAAGGAAATCCACCTCAGTGGTTTAAAAGATCTGACTGCTGTTTGAGACTGTCACTTACGCTTTGGGGCAGGTTTTGCCAATTCTTTTGGTTTTGTTCCCTCGGAAGACGCCATGGTAGGAGAGGGGATGGTGGGAGTAGTTGCAGCTGTAGAAGACATGGTAAAATAATGGAAGTCAGTATGACAGGACTCTAGTAGAAAAGCGAAGGAGATAGGAGATACGGTATCCACACAAAAATGCAGGGAGAGTGGAGGCTGCACTCACGAAAATGAGAGAACTCACTCTACACCAACAGAAACCAACTCGGGAGCTGCTACTATCTTTAGTAGCTCTTGGACAGCAGAAGATTGGTGCCAAAAAGGATTCGATTGTTAATGGCTGCCGATGATGCAGTTGGAAGGAAACAAGCGAACTCGGGGACTGAAGATCGGTGTCACGATTGATTCACTGATTTATTCGCGTTTTCGACTTTGGAACGGTGCAAGCCAAAACAACAGGTCGTCGTCACCTGTTTGGGTGTCAGTCAGATGACGCTGTCCTGTTTGGTTGTTGTTAGTATCAGGTACCAGGCTACTGCGCTGGTGTAGTGTGGGGATTTTTTTGCCTTGCTGCTAGTATAAAAAGGCAACAAGCAGGCAAGCCGACAGTCTCTCTTATACGAGATATGGTACTGTACGTGGGTGGACATGAAACCTAGGGTACCAGTACAGTACTAGCTATGGACTTGATACACTTTTTTTCGCTTCGTTTGGTGGCTGAGAGGGGGCCACTCTTCCAAACCGCAGCCTCATGGCTGATGTTCTAATTGGAGCATGAGCGACTCTGTGCGGTCTTTTTTAGACCGCAAGCGATACGAAACAACAATTGCAGCTGGAGAAGGCCTTCCTACAGTACTGTTCGTTCCTCCTTCACTAGACATATAAAACTAATACTAAATAGATACGTTAAGGAGCGAGGGGGGCGAAGCTAGGCAAAGCAGTGGCTGCGGTGGTGGGCGGCTGTTGTGGTGGGCGTACGGGGAGAGCAGCTACTTCTAGCTCCGCATATGCATACCGTACAGAGCAACGGTAGCTAGCTAGCCAGAGCCAGAGCGTGCATTCCAACCGAAACCTCTTCTTATGCGCAAGTGTGGGTCCAGTTCATTCCACGTCATATGAGAACACTATGAGAACAGTGGCCAGGAGTTGACAACCGAGCGAATGACCTCCGATCTTTTCTATTACCATGCAGCTAGCTAGATGCGGAACAATTATTCTTTATCTCCTTGGTAGCATGGAGCGACTTGCTAACTTGGGATTGTTTGTTTGGGCAGCAACAAGCAAGTTGCAATGAAGAATGTTTGAAGCGTGAGCAAGAGATTTGATTCAGAAAGTTCAAAACCCTCTTTGCCATCTCTTCTTTCCAGGCCAAGACAGCAGATGCCATCAGTCAGGAACAGATTTGAGATCGCGCCAGTATTCATGTAATTGACTCTAAAAAACCAAACCTGGTTGTATGCTGTACGCATTTCCTTTTAAGAGGAACTCTTGGTGTGGATAAATTCATATTCTTACTCATTAAACACTCACAGTAGGATTGATAAAAGCTAGAAGACAGACCGCATGCTGCTCAGAAAGAAGGAAGCCAACCATGCGAGAGTCCCCAAAAGGCCCAGGATATTCTGTGCTCTTCTACCAGAAATACACACAGTCATGACCCCCTGGGCTGCTGGTATACCTAATATCTGGTCGAATGACAGAACTCAATCAAATCGAAAACATTGCATTCTCAAACAGAATCGACTTCATACATTTAGACGCGAACACGACGACGCTTGCGGCGATCAGTGTCTTTGATGTGTCTCTTTGGTTTTTCCTGTTCTTGCTTCTTAGGTGGCACGGCGATACGACCCATCATCGACATCTGCAAAGCAAACAAATATTGCAACATTGGAATTAGCGTCTCAAAATGCACCAAGAAAAACGAGTATCGGAGTAAGCAAACTTACAGAACTCTGCGCGGTGATGAAATCAAGCAAGCACAAAAGGACAACATTGTAAGTACAAAGGATTGACAGAATAAGAGACAGACAAAAACACATCATGACTCACCATGGAAGACATGGTGCTGCTCATGGACATGCTGCTCATGGTGCTCATGGACATTGAAGACATCGTCATGGATGACTGAAATCAAACAGGCATTATTAGACATGGCTTCAACAGACAACTGAGAAACATTTTTCAACATTTGCCGTGCTTACCATACTCATGCTGCTGCTCATCATGGACATGCTGCTCATCGTGGACATGCTGCTCATGCTGCTCATGGACTGGAAACAAAAAAGAACCAAGAGAAGTTAGCATGGAACAAACGCAGACGTCCTCTTCAAACCACCACAAAATGACTGACTCACCATGCTGGTGGACATACTCATCGAGGACTTCAATCCACGCCCCTGACGGGCTCGGAGCTTGCGGCCGCGAGTAACATCAGCTTCGACGACATTGCTGGCAAACAGAACAGCCAGGAGGGAAATAATGAACAAGGTAGTCTTCATCTTTTCTTGAGAGGTGCGTTGGAGGGAAAGTGATTGGCTCGCACTATCGTTGAGATGAAAAAACTTTTTGCAATTGTGAATTTATGATGTACTAGTACCTCTATCTTTTCTCCCTGAAGCGCAAGGCAAATAATCCTACCACCAGGCAGAGAAACTTCCCAGCAGACACCGAAGTGTCAATCGCGTAAGGCTTGCAATGACAACTAGCACGTGCTGTGAAACCGAGGTACTCGTCTGCAGCACAAGCAGCGGACATCAGTTGTATTGCCTTCGGTACATCTTTTGGTTTGACCACCATAATATACGCGAAAGGAAAGCATGCTCACATTATGAGCTTTCATGTGTGTTGTGGCTAACAAAATAGCGTCTGTCTAAGAAAAGATCAGCAAGAATCATCACGACTAAAGTATTTAGGATCGCTTCTATGCATAAGAGAAAAAGCGCAGACGGCCACATTCGCGGTGCCGCTGCGGTCGAACAAGTATTTTGTTCTCAGTCACTGACGTCATCAGATTTTGCACCAGTTCGATTGCGTACAGCCGTACTGTACGCTAGCACTCAACGTACCGTACGGTACGATGTTGTCTAGCTAGAGGAGTAATGGGCAGGGCGTGATAATTTGCGCTTGTACGGTTGCCACCAAGTATACTCACTTTTTGCTGCAATTGATAAGTTGCCACCAAGTCACAAGTGCCCAACACCCAAACACGTCGGCACGTGGAGCTAAAATAATCCCGCAAGCATGAACCATTTTAATTAAAATACCACCATCATCCTTTCGTTTCACTTCGACTGCGCCTGCGTCGCGGGAAGGACCACACCTGCCAGTACCGGTACCGGTACGGTCGAGCTAAGTTTCCTTGAGCTGGCCTATGATTGACATGCATGCAACTTACGTTGGCATGATGTTGCAAGAATGATGCCCTTATCGGTTCGCAGCTTCAGACATCGGTCGGCCAGCCATCTCGAGGGCTCCTGTCCTCCTTCTAACGGACAAAGCATGGCTTTGGCAAGGAACCGACGAAGAGGGATTGCACAAATGATCGGTAATCTCCGGTCGTAGCTTGACTGATCGAAACCAGATATGGTACGGAGGTTGGTCCCTTGTTGCGACCTGGCAGCGTTCCGTCCTGAAACCAACGTCCCGTCGCCACTATCGATAAGGCATATTGCTGTTGTGGATCCATTTCCGGCGGAATTCTGCGGGAAAAGAGTAATCCCCTCCGTCCCGCTATGCTCCTCGTGGCAGCCAGTGGCTGAATGCAGCCTTAGCTAGCTGTCCCTCTTCTTGTTGAACCAAACAGCACCGTCCATCGTGAAGCTGTGACGGCCACACTGGTGAATATGATCCGTTACTGCGACCAGCGCTTTGGATCCCGGTTGGATCCCGGTTGGATAAAAATCACTACGGTGTGTTGCATGATGCCTGATGCTTGAGCGATGCCCCGGACTGACTGGGTTTGACTCGACTCTGTCGGGTGGAATCTGTGCAACAAGTTGCTCTACACTTGTTTGCTCTACACAAGTGTACTGGCCTTGCAAAGCACGAGGCAGACTTCTTCACAGCCTAATAAAGGAGTAGTGACTCGATAGAGTGGACCAGTATAGTCCATGTTCATTATGGCCGCCCAGCTAAGACGCTAGCAGGTAGACTAGGTGCAGGGATGGATATCTTGCATGTGGTTGACGGACGGTTTTTGTTAGTAAAATGCATCAAAAAGTGAGAGTGCCCAATGTTTGACACTGGTGCCTCGTGCATTCGCGCGAATAGGTCCGGTACCGGTATTAATACATGTAAGATGTAAGGGGACGTACAATTTCAGTCGTGGTGCACTTCTCACTCAAACTTTTAAGATAAGTGAGATTGTAAGATCCCTTTCAACTGGTACTCAAACATATAGAATATTAAGAATTCAGACAACCCAGACAATCAGATTTCCCAAACCAGTTAAGATAAGCTATGAGTACCAAGGTCTCAAATCCTAAGCTAATACCAATACTACATGTACTACTATGTGGGGATTGAGGGCCGGTAGTAACCACTATCTTCGCCACACCATCTATGATACATCCAAGTCCACCACATCCCCCATCTTGTTGTGCCTCCTCTACGGTACCACAACATCTCTGGTTTCATCAAGATGGCTTTGCACCTTTGCCTTCTTGAGCTTTGATGGTGGCTCCTCACTGTCTGAGGCCATGGTTAGTATCATGGTACAGGATGTGACAATAGATGCTCCAGTGGCTAGGGTTTACAAGGTGAGAGGTATCTAATAAATGAGGTAAGCTAGGCCTGAATACATGCAGCAGTGGTGACTGGAGACTGGAGTGCTCTTCTTGGGGTCATTGAGAATGTTCTTCTGCTCGCCATTATTTATGGTAAACAGTACAGTATGCATGCATACTGGTACTGGTAACCGCTGCCGTGCGTGGCTAATCCAGTACCGGTACCGGTGTACCGGTACTAGTGTACTAGTACATCTATCTGTGGGGAATTGAGAGACCCTGAAACGCACGCGATGTTACACGTATAACTCGTATCACTCGTATCACTCGTATAACTTGTATCGCTCGTATAACAGGTCTAACACATCTTACGTGTAGAATACGTATAACATGTATAACACGTATAACACGCACGCCAGCCAGCCACCGTGACCGTTCGAGTTGGCTTCGCAAAATGACTTGACTTCAACTCCAATCTCCACCACAAAGAACCACCATCCACCATGACAACAACCTCTCTTCTCTTGTTTGTTTGAAGGATACAAAGGTTTCTCTTGTTATTTGAAGATAGCACCATCATTGTGGGTAAGTAGGCAATGTGGTATGGCTTTGTTGAAGCCAAGAAGACTGTTCCTGTGGAAAGATACAATGATTTCTCTTCATTCAACTCATTCTCCATTTTTCTGCCTCCACTCTCTTCCTCAGGCCCTGTACAGCCTTCAGGACCATTCTCTTTGCATTCATATACTTCTGAAGGCTCACTGACAAAGCCTGTGGAAGTGCAATACACGGCTTTTAGCCTTATTCGCGACTCGATCCTAGATAGGGTTTGAGTTCGACTCATGACTGAGTCTCTCGTGAATAGTCATTTGAGACAGGGTTCTCAATGACCGCGCTAGTCATACTAGGTTGATGATGAAACATCGCTCTAGATATTTAGCCAGCGTGGAGTACTTCCACGCTACTAGATCCAGGCTAGACGAACCTTCCACGCGTTCCGTTTTAGGATCGTGGAGATACGTAGGATTACTACCGCAACCTACTCTATCACACTTTATAGTCTCCCGCGGGAGGCCAGATCTACGATCCCTTGATGATGATCTCTCTCGTTGATTAGCTTTCATAGCTTTCTAATCTCTCTCATAACTTTCATTCTCTCAAACTCAAAACACTCGAAAGATCTTTACACTAGCTTTTAACGTAGTGCAGCAGGAGTCCATTCTTCATCATTGATATTGTATCTAGCAACATGGGAGAGTTCAGATAGGTAAGAGTCCATTTTACTTGATAAGCTGTCAGGTATTATGGCCTGCAACAGTGCATCTTCCTCTCTGCCTCCCAAACACCTGGCAAAACACCTGGCAAAAAAACTTAGCAAAAATTCGTCACTATGTATTATACGTAAAACACGTACAACACATAATACATGTAATACGTATAATATTGTTCCACTTGTGTTATCTGTGTTGTACGTATGACTTGTCTAATACATATTAAAAATGTTATATGTGTAATACGTATGATCTGTAGAATACATAGTGAAAATGTTATACGTATAATACAACCGCGTGCGTTTCAGGGGCTCTCAACTGTTGGCTTAAAAAAAGTCCCTTTCATCCATGCTTCGTGATTTTTGGAGTTGACACCGGAGTTTGTTTGTCCTGCAAAAATTTCGATTTGAGGCCAAATTCCGGCTTCAATCTTTATACTCCTCACGCACAAATTAGTCTTGAAGAAGCAAAACCATCTTTCGCCTGCTTCCACGTTTTTTTCATGACGATGATTGCCAATAAGAAGATGGCCTCGCTGATCTCGGTGACTCTGTGCGCCTTTAGTTCGTGCGCTGCTGCACCACTCGGTGTCCTCCGCGGCTCCAAAGTATCAGTCAGTGCGTCGGTTACGGTTCGTCAAGATCCGGCGGTAAGCGCTCAAGATTGGGTGAGCGGACACACCAACGCCGCCGCAGTCGATACCGAGGAAGAACGGGCACAGCTGCTGGCTTTGGCTTCGTTCTACTTTTCCACAAATGGAAACTCATGGACCAACAACACCAACTGGCTTTCCTACACAACTCATGAGTGCCAGGTATGTAGAGAGGGACGATGTTGTTGAAGGTTTGCTATCAAAAACTTTCACAGATGCCTGCAGACACCTCAACCAATCCTGTACCCATTGAATTGTCACATTCCAGTGGTACAACCAAGCAGAAGAAGATGCTTGCACCAGCGATCTAGTATTTCTGGAATTGGATCTCGAAGAGAACAACTTGATTGGGTCTCTCAATGGACAGATTGCCTCATTGTCATCGTTGGTAAAGCTTGATCTCGAAGACAACATGATCGGGGGACGGCTGCCAAGTGAAATAGGCTTGATGACTAACCTGGAAGAGTTGACTCTCGAGCAAAACTCTTTCACTGGAAGTATCCCCACACAATATGGCGGACTTTCTTTGTTGGAAGAGCTCTATTTGGATCGCAACATGCTGACGGGTGATGTCATCAGTGAACTGGGCCTGATGGCGGCGTTGCAAGAGCTTGACCTGGCAGAGAATCATTTGGAAGGGAATCTTCCAGCTGCGCTGTCTCAGTTGTCAAACTTGGAGTATCTTGATCTGTATTTCAATAAGCGATTGAATGGGTCCCTTAGTGTGGATGTTTTGCTTCTTCCTGCCCTGGAAGAGCTCGACTTGGAATTCAACTATTTTTCAGGCAAGTGCTGGAAGCTAACTCTTTCAGATCAGCGGTCTGTTGTCTGCTTCAGCTTATGTATGCTTTCTCCCAACTTCACCTTCCAAACAACGAACAATACACACACATATTATCTCTCAGGTACACTTCCATCTGAGATTGGCCTTTCAACAAGTTTGCAAGTCTTGAAGTTGGGTGACAATCTCCTCAATGGAACCATTCCCAGTTACATTGGAAACATTTCTACATTGACTGAACTTCAGCTGGGAGGCAATGAATTCTCTACCTCGATTCCAACTGAAATTTTCGGCCTGAGTAATCTTGAGGAGCTAGATTTATCAGACATTGACAACCTGTCTGGGCCAATTCCTACTTTCATAGGTTTGGCCACATCACTCAAGGAGGTGGACATCCATGACACAAGCATCAATGGAGTCATTCCCACTCAAATAGGGCTCTTGAGCTCATTGGAAAGCTTGGAGCTACACGAAATTCTAGGTCTCACCGGCAATCTGCCAGCTCAGCTGACGGGACTTGCAAATTTAACCAGACTGTGAGTACACCGAGGACTGGCCGATTGCTTTTGGATTACAAGTGCCTTTGCGACATCCACATTTTCTTTCCCGCTCATTCATCCTCTACTCTTCACCTTGGAATGTCCTTGGATCCCTTCTTGACCGACCAATCAATGACAACAATCAACTTGTACGGTACCTGCAACTATGCTTGTGTGCACAGGAACGTGGCTAACACCTCCATGAGTGGCCTGATTCATCCCAAGCTGTGCAACATCAGTGAGCTAATTTTTACATGCAAGCCTGGAGGACTTTGCGGCTGCGGATGTGAATGTCGAGAGGCTATACCTACCTCAAGCCCCAGCATAGCACCCAGCTCCCGCCCCAGCAGCACTCCTTCCAAGTCTCCAAGTTCCAGCCCCTCTAGATCTCCAAGCTCCTCTCCTTCCCGGTCTCCGAGCTCGACCCCATCCAGATCTCCGAGCTCGTCGCCCTCAACTCAACCCAGTCTCCATCCCACTGATTTCTTCGAGTGTCCTCCCCGTGGTCCCTGCGTTGGTGCGTATGAGGAACAATGGTGTGAGTCCCTTGTCGAAGATGGGCGATGTGCTCGAATCGTAATATTGGAATCCTGCCCAGTGCAATTCAATTGTGTTTCACCCTTGGATGTTGACCGTGGTGGCGGCCATCTTCTGTAGCGGCTAAACAAAGTTTTTAATTTGGCTCCGATGTACGACTTGTTGCGCGTGCATCCAGGTCGTCCTTTGCCCTTCCCAACCAAGCAACCGAGGATTGTCGTGGCTTTATCCAATAGCTTTCTTTCGTTCATGCAATGGGCCTGTATTGTTACGTCTACGTAGTGAAGCTTCGCGCGAAAAGGGCACATGCACCTCTGCAGCCCCGATTCCTCACTTTTGTTCTTTTCTTGGATCGATCGATCTTTGTGAAGAAGCAGGATCAAAAGCCTATGCAAATTGATCCACTCCAAGTGAGCTTTAGAGCAATAACACTAGTAATGCTGCTTCAAAGCCCAACTTGGTGTGCCTTCTAGCTCTAGCACCATAGGCACAGTCACAGGCTAGTCCACATGAGCTGATGTTGTAGGTCACTGAAAGTAGCTCTCGAGTAGCCCACAAGATATCGATTCAAGAACTTATCGCGTGAAGATCTCACAGTCTACCTGTATGGACGAAACGTGTGCCCGAGATACAGGTAGCCATGAGACAATGCTCCTTTTGGTTACCAGTACCCCCTCAGTTGCACTCCAAAATCGATTTGCCGGCGTTTACTGTCCGAAAAAGAGTAGACGCACTTCAGTTGCAGAATCAACGGTCATGTGTATCGTTAAGTAACAAGTTCCCTTTAGAAAGATTTAGATGGATTCGTGGATAAAAGAACCGTTGAAGTTGCTAAGGTTAAGGATAAACTGATCGCACCGAGCGAAAGTCCATCATTGAAGGCGCAGCACTGACTTCTCTCCCTCATTGAATTCGTATGGTAAACAGGAGGTAAATCCAAGCTTGACCGACAACAATGGTGAGTGCTTTATCCAATCGGCCGATCGATTGATTCGATTCGAGGTAAGCCTATTATCAAGAGTGATATTGGAGGTGTAGATGCGAAAGCCATCCTTCATTCATTTCTATGGACCATGGGCAGGCAGTCAGATCTCGGCCGTCAACGGGTGAGTTGTTTTAATTATTCGAATCGAATCGATCGGTCGCACCTCTGTTATCCAAGCCTCACTCAAGCCGGTCGTCTCCGGTGTAGATTCGAAAGCCATCCCTAATTGAATCCTATGGACCATGGGATGGCAGTCAGTTCTCAGCCATGAACGGCCAAGTTGGAGAACAAGGGTAAGTCGCCGGTTTTCTTCAGTGTCAGAATAGAAGAGAAAACCATAGCTATTTCTTACTTTCTCTTCTCTTACTGCTGACGGCCGGCGAACTACCATTGTCGAGTCCTTTTCGGTCGCTCGGGACAACAAGAGGAGAGGCTTCGATCGATCGCTATGAACAAGAGGATGCTCTGTTAACTCCAGCCCTATCACCAGCCTGAACATCGTCGAGTCATTGAATGGCAACAGTCGTCAACCGGAGGAGGAGGCTATACGACACACGACAACACACAAGAGAGTGGATCCCCCTACCGGATTCATCCTTCTTATTATTTCTACTATTTTGGTGGTGATTCCTGTGCGGTACCCATTTTCCTGTAGGCAAGTCAAGACTGTTGCCACTAGCTATACGGCAGTGGCTACAATGGCTGGATGACAATTTCGGTTGTGCTGTATTCATAGGATCCAAGGCGAGGTAACCGACTGCAGCGAGCAAAGTCGAACCTGAGTGTGTTCGTACTGTTGCCACTTCACTGATCGATGAACTCTACCATAGCTGCTACATGCTGGATTGACAATGTTCTGTTGTGCTTGTATTCGTCTAAGGATACCAATGCGAGGAACCGGTAACCGTAGCGAGCAAAGCGAACTTTCGGTACTGTTCCATGTCGTCGATGTAGCTATACCGCGCGCTACAATGGCTGGATTCAATGTTCGGTTGTGCATGTATTTGTCATAAGGATGCAATGCAAGATACCAGCAACGGAGTGTAGCCAGCAAAACGGAACTGAGTGTGTTCGGTACTGTGACACTGTCGCGATGTAACTGTACTGTAGCCTGTTACAATGGCTGGATTAACAATATTCGGTTTTGTGCATGTATTCGTCATAAGAACCAATGCAGGTAAACCGAGTGAGCAGTAAAGCCGAACCTGAGTGTGTTCGGTATGTTGCCACTGTCACCGATCGATGAAACTCTACGGTAGCTGGCTACGATGGCTGGATGACAATGTTCAGTTGTGCATGTATTCGTCAATAAGGAATCCAATGCAAGGTACCGGAACGGAGTGAGCCAGTAAACGAACCTGAGTGTTTTCGGTGCTGTTGCCACTGTCACCGATTGATGTAACTCTACGGTAACTGGCTACAATGGCTGGATTGACAATATTCGGTTGTGCATGTATTCATCATAAGGATCCAATGCGAGGTATCGGTAACCGTAGCGAGCAAAGCCGAACTTTTGGTACTGTTGCCATTGTTGTCGATGTAGCTATACCGCAGCCGGCTACAATGGCTGGATTCATAATGTTCGGTTGTGCATGTATTCATCATAAGGATCCAAACTGAGGCAAGGGATACAGGAGACGAGCGCTGAAAAATAGTCCTGGTAGCAGCTTCCACCGGCGGTAGCTGCTGCCTAGCTAGATGAGGGATGAGGGTTGCGTTGCTGAAGACTGGACTTTACGTCGTACTGCTTCTGGTTGAGAGCACCACCTTTGGATGATTATTCTTTGGATGACTTATTGGATACCACTTGTCAGTTAAGTCTTCAAAGACACCTTGCCACCTTCTTTGTACTGACATGCTGACTCCTCAAAGAGGTATTTGGGCTACTCATGCAGCCCAATATCGCTGCATCGTATTTGGGCTACTCCTGCAGCCCAAACTCGCTCCGGTGGCTGGGTGTTCTTCTCGACGAGCCATTTGGGCTGCTCAAGTAGCCCAAGAATTTGAGCTGCTCCAGTATCCCAATACCGGTACTGGTACATCTTATTTGGGCTACTCGAGCAGCCCAAATTGCCAATGCTCAGGACTTCCTCAGAAGGGTGATTGGGCTACTTGGATAGCCCAAATCGTCCATACTCAGTACATCTCATTTGGGCTACTCGAGTAGCCCAAATCGTCAGTAATGAAAAGGACTTCCGCCAAAGGTGATTGGGCTACTCGAGTATCCAAAATCGCTCCACGCTCATGCAGTGATGATCGAGTAGCTCAAAAATTTGAGCTACTCGAGTAGCCCAAACAATCCGAAGATACAGGCCAATCTAATAGCTACTCATTGGGCTACCTGTACTTGAGTAGTCTAGATTTTCGGCTACTTGAGTAGCCCAGATATTCTCTGCAATTTTAGGCTACTCCATTAGCCCAAAAACGTGTCCTTTAAATAACTTATGATGTCCTTTATGTAATACAGGGCATGCACTTACTTAACTGACGAGTATCCAATGGGTCATCCAAAGAATGATCATATGATCATCTGATCATCCAAAGGTGGCACTGGTGGCACTCTCTTCTGGTTAGCTTTTGGGTTGTGGGTGGTGATGTGGTGATGCCACGTACATGTACATGTGCGTGTATGTTGATCTGAAAGAGAACTGGCCCTTGGGTGAGCAGTTACCAGGTACTGTATTTTAAATTCCGGCGTTTTTGCACGTGGCCTTTTTACATGAGAGTACCAGTACCACAAGCTACGTGGGCTCTACACATAGTCTTCGGAGTCTCAGACAGGACTCGACGACTCGACCTCAATAGCAACTCAAAAGGAGTAAGGGCGTACTAGTAAGGGCGTAAACGATTGGAGCAAAAGGATTATGAGACAAACAAAACACTAATTAAAGGACACTCGTGGCAAAAACCGGAACATTGGATTTCACGCATCTCTCACATTTTGGCCTCATCATCAATCATCATTGGCTCGAGGCTCGGTTGCCAAACAAATGCGGATCTTCATCATTCGATTCAATCCGAGCAAATACTCACAACGCATGTAGCCGGATCTCCTTTCATCGCACCAGCCAATAGATATTTCGTGGTTGGAACATCGTTGCATCCTCCTGATCCCTTTCATCTTTCATCGTCGTTGAAGGGAACAGAGCAGCAAGTAGCCGGATCTCCTTTCATCGCACCATCGCACCAATGGAGATTTCGTGGTTGGAACATCGGAACATCGCAACATCCTCCTGATCCCTTTCATCTTTCATCGATCTTCAGCATGCCTCTCACAACAGTTGTTGGCAGGTAAGAATTGTCTGCTTCATGATCGTGCTCAGGTCTAGCGACTCTTTCCTTTGGCTCACTTTACCTGCATTGAATCTGCATTGCTTCCCCAGCTCTGGAGCTGGCAAGACTACCTTTATGCAGGATGTCCATAAGAGCCACCGGTGTGTCTACGTTCGGCAGTATCACTCCCTCCGCCCATACATCCCCGTCGCTGCCATTCCCGACTTCGACGAAACCGAACTTCCGTTCTGGAATATCTACAAACAAGAGGGAACAGCTGAAACGATCAAAGTGGGTGGGACCATGGCCGGCGCCTTCACTGCTGGACTCAGTGGAGGTCAGCGCAAGCTCTTCGTCTTTGAACTCATCTACCAGCGCACAAAACGTCAAAGAGATCTTTTGATTTGCCTAGATGAGCCATTCGCGGTAAGACAATCCTGTTGTTGTGTTTCTGATTGCCACCACCATGACAACTTTGCTGAAACTGCATGTTTGCTTCTTTGATCTCCAAGGGCGTCACTGGTGCGTAAAACCTTCACATTGTGCCTCTGAAACACTTTACTCGTCAACTCACTCACCGTGACACTCGATCTGTTGCTGTTTCCCAGATGACTATGTGCCTTGGGTTGTCGACAGACTCAACCTTATGCGTCGGCATCACAACATCTTGCTGGTGACCAACGATCACGTGCAAGCCTTGACAGGAATGTCAGACAACACCATTACGGTATCTGCTGTTGATCGATCTGTGGTCACGGTCAACAACAATGAACGTGTAGATCGAGAAAAGGCCATCATGGCTCTCTCCGTGGGAGAAGCGTATGCCTATGAAGCTTCTGGTGCTGATTATAACTTCTTTGTTGATGCGGAAATGAAGAAGAATGCCAGTGTCATGGGTGTTGCAACCTACGCCATCTGTGCTTTCGCGCTCTTTATTCCTACATTCTGGGGCACTGCGCAAGAAGGCGCTGCCTTGGTCCTGATTGCTATTGATATGATTGGATACTTTGCCATCAAGCCATATCTCCTCAGTTTGGTAGATTGGCGCAACTACGTTTCTGAGGAAGCGGAAGCCCTTATGCATTCCAGCAAGGGGAAACAGAAACTCTGGAAGACCTACTTGACAATGTGCATGATCCTCCTTATTTCGCTATTGCAGTATGGGCTTGCAAATGCCGTCATTGACGGCTTGGGAGATTTCACCTATTGGATTGCCATCTTTTTTGATTCAGGAAGTCTTACGTTTCCTTCCATTTGCCTCGGTTTGTATACCAGTCTTCCTCTTGAGGCAGTTGCTTCCATCTCCAGTCTTCCCTTTATGCTTCTGATCTTCTTCTCGACAACCTATTCTCCCGGGTCTGGAATTGCAGTTGTCAAAGAGTTCCGATACTTGTTCAGTCGCTTCTACTTGTGGTGCATGACTCCTGGTGTTTCGCATCTCATGGAAGGCTGTCCTGCCAGTCGGAGCCTCAACGTGCTCTACCTGGTCCTGACGGGCTCCTTGGGCGTCATCATCTTCCTGGTTTGCATGCTTGTCAAGAACACCCGCCTCAACATGAAACGAGACCGAAAAGAAAAGAAGAGAAAGTCAATGGCGCAGGATGCAGAGTTTCAGAGCCTGCAGCTTGAACTGTATGGAGTGGGACAGCACGCCAGTAGCAAAGAATTACTGACCGAGGAACGACAATCATCGTTTTCCGAATCTGGTGGCAAGAGTATGTTTGCATCCAACGACAACTCGTTTTCGATATCTTCGTGTGACGATAGCGGTGTGATCTGCTTTGAAGTCTGAAGCACGGAAACCGCAGCATTCAAAATGTGACTGATCATTGTACGTTGCATGCAAAGCAAAAAGTAGCAAGCAATCCACTTGTTGAAGTATGGCATGCTTTTTTGTTCCATGAAGTTCTGTCTTCTGCAGTCCTCTACGGCTCTTCTCACCTCTTTTAACGAAGGATTGTCAGACGATAGGAGTACCAGTATAAATACGATAGTAGTAAGCTAAATGACAGAAAGATGACAAATGCATTGCAATTGTGTACTTCAGGACGATGTGTTTGCGCTTAGGTGGACATGGCAAGGGCCGTGGCTCACTGTGGCACTACAAGTACCGGTACCGGAAGCTGGGAGACTCAAACAGGAAACTGTTGCATCGAGTGAAGAAGCCTACCTGGCGTTGTTTGTTTCCTGCCTTGCCAAGTTTCCAGCTAGCTAGCTAGATGCAGTTCAGTTTAGTTGATCGGGGCAGCAAGCAATCATACAGTATATACAAAAGTATGTCTCCCCTGCTCCCATCAAACCTAGCTATTCCCAAATTTCTCCTTTGATTCTCCTAAGCCAAACCCTCTGTCGGCTTCCGGAGACTACATGTAATCAACTACTCCAGAGTACCGGTACTCTATTGGAGTAGGCCCCCTGTTACCGCTACGCACTATGCATACCGGTACCGATAGCCCGTTACATGCTGGCAAGAGCTGTGGCAAGACAGCTCTGAGCAAGGGCATCAAATTTTGTGAGACGAATTGCTCCACCGGCGTTTTTCGGAGAGAATTAACGTTTTGAGGCATTCTTTTTCACAATTGCTGAACCCACACTCAACACCACAAAAGGCGGCATTCAAAAATCCATGGAGTGTGAAGAGACGCAGTAGGATCCAGACTGTGGTGCCCCCTTTATTGGCTTGTTGTGAGGGCTGTCTCTCCTTATTACTTGCTAGGTTATACCGGTATTGATTGTTTTGGGTTGCTTTGCTTTGCTTTGCTTTGCTTTGATTCGATTCAATTCAATCATTCCTTCGACGGGCGCACCAATTGCTTTCCATGTCATCACAAACGAATCGTGATCTCGCTACCCCATCAAGGTGTTTCCGTTGAAAGAACCAAGAACAACACAACCGACAATGGATCACGCGATCCAAAGTCGCTCGGAACTGTTGCCGCCACAACATCGATCCGTAGCCAAGGCTGCTGTGAGCGGATGTACGCCGTTGGACGAAGAGACGCCTGAAGATTTGACTTCCTCACAAGGAGGACCCACAGCGCCTTTCCAGCCATTAGAGATAGCAGAAGAACACTCTTCCGAACGAGACACCATGAGCTTTGTTCCCAATATGAGTCCTTCGGCTGTTGCTGCCTCGGAGGCTTCCAGGAAGCGCAGATTGCGACAAAGGTGGCCTTCTTTCTCATTGGAAGTGTCGACAACAGCGGATATCGCAAACACGTCATTTATGTTTGCGGACCAACTGCAAACTCAAGAAGACAATCTACGAGAGACTGGCCTATCTCCTGGAAAGGGAGGCCGTCGAGTTCCAATTAATATTCTCAAATTGCCATGGCAGCATCCATTCAGAAACCATGAGAGCAACAGCAACCCATACAAGATCCCTAGAGCCCTGTTTGCGGCTATTTTCTTGACGACGACTCTGGCTTTGTTTTCTGCTTGGGACGCCCAGAATCACTGTATATCCAACGAAACAGATGCCCTGATGGCTCTCCTTGGAGGGGGCGACGACGGGTACTCTGGAGACAATGCCAGCCAAGAAAACTACGACGACCAGGGAACTGATGACGATGTCTACGCCAGCGAGATGTTACTTGTAACAGCAACCTGCAAGGAAATGTTTCGACAAGTCATGGTTCCTGTGGGGCTCATTACTGGGGCTGGGTCATTGTTGGCGCTCGGGATATTGCGCCAGCACCAAAGGTCATACGGGAAGATGAGAGATGGAGCAAAAGTCCCTCTCATGGCACAGAGCCCCCCGTGCTTCTACTCATTCTACCTTCCTCTATTGTTCGTCTCCGGCTTGATTCTGGCCGCCTGGACTGTTGGGATCGTCCTTGTGATGCTACGTCCACGGTCCAATGATAGCGACAATCCCTACACCAGCTTGGCTGCCGTTGATGCAATGGGAAGGGTTGGCGACAACGCAAATCTCTACTACCTTTCTTGGATATCTGAACTTCTCGCTATGTTGATTTTCTACCTATTGGGAGGCGCATTTGTGAGGCAACACTGGCTTCCCATGATTACAGCCCCCGCCGCCGGCACAATGTCGGCAGCACCACCCGTAACTTCCAATCCAAGCACCGTGTCGGCCGCATCCTCCGCATTTCTGCACATCCAAAAACATGCCCTGGCTGGTTCACACATGATCAGCACAAAAGGATCCATGGACAATTCCTTGTTACAGTTTTCTTCCGTCTCCTCCATGCCAGGGGCGATTCCAGCTACAACGCAGCGATACCACTCGTCAAGAATCAAATGGTACCAAACATTCTACAAGCTACGAGTCCGCACTGGAATCTGGGTAGCAGCCTTGTTTTGTAGTTTGGTGATTGTGGCAAGTTCAGCACATTTGTTCCACGAAGTTTTGCTACCTGCTGCGCTAAGCCTGTATGACGATGATGACTATTTGTCAACCAATGATCGAATCAGCTGGTGGAACGTTGTGGAAGAGAATAAAGCCTACGGACGAGTTTGTGTCGTCCTGGCGAACCAAGACAGCAATCTATCGGAAGCACTGTGCAAACGAACTTTCTTCTCGCTTTTGTCGGGGTTTGTGGCTGTAATACTTTGTGGTACCGCAATCGTTCTCCACTTACTGGCACGGCGAAGTGCGGCTGCTGACGCCTTGTATGTGGAAGCATGTGGAGGTGTCTACCACGAACTGGCCCTTGAAATGATGGTCACAAAGAATCACCACTTTCCACTGAGAACCGAACTGTTGCTGAGCGTCGTACTGAGTCTGTGGTTGGGCTGGAACGCGCTTTGCGTGAGCTCGATCCATGGGCCTGCATCCCGCGTTGGCAACCTGTATTATGGAAGTTGGCTCTGCTTCTTGCTCTGCCTGCGAATTAGTCTCGGGTGCGTCGAAGAGTACTTCAATATCGACAACGACGAGGGCGGCAATCATGAGCAAAAACACAATTCGCGACGATACAGCAGACAGCCGTCGTACAGAGCGCCAAGTCTTGCACGCGAAACAGAAGGAGAAACCAACCCAGCAAGTGCATCCGACAATGGCAACGGAGCAAAATCCCATCGGCAAACAAATCAGCAGGGACAAAATGACGAGTCTAAAGATGCACTTGAAAAGGAAAGGGCCAGTCGCCTGAGGAGGTACTTTTTCCTGTTTGCCTTTTCAACTGTTTGTGCTGGATCGGCGATTGATGCAGCAGCAAACCAAGGATTCGCCTTGAGCCTCTCGGAGAAATATATGATTTTGGCCCCGACAACGGTGGCTCTTGTCTCCGCTGCGATGTTCTTGCTTTGTCTTTTCAAGGAGTCTTACGCCATTGTATCACGGTTTTGGTGTGGAGGTGTTCTTTCTCTGGTGTGTTTTGAAGTGTGGCTGCTCGATCTCGTCCTGACCATGCACTCGAAAGACTCTTGGGCAGTGAATGGTGTTGGAGAGATTGAAATGGCAAATTTGTACTACTTCTCGTGGGCATCTATCATTACTGCAGGGATTCAAATGACATCTTATTTTCAGGAAGCGTTGGGATTGGAGTCAGAAGACTACATGTCAGTTGTTTGGGCTGCAATTGGGAAAGTATGCTTTGTCATCCTGGGTGCAGCTCTTCATATTTGGCATTCTATTTCAGACCAATGCGATATTGAATTTCGGAACTCGGCCCTGACGTTTTGTTCAAGGACAGTGCTTGCTATGATTATTGCGGCAACGGGCATCACTATCAGTGGAACTGTGGTTTTCATTCGAGTCCTGGTCCCTACAAGATTCCTCTCTACCAGGTCTAGGGCTCATTGTGAGGCCGTGACATCCATCTTTCTAATGCTTCTTTATGGCGTTGGAACAGCAATGGTCACTGGAATTGGCAGCCCGGGGCAAAGTGTTGGTGATTTGTACTACAGTACGTGGCTGGCATTTATTGTCTCGATTGGTATCTTTATCAGTTGCTACGATCAAATCAAGGTGGCAGAGTTGGAGGCGAAAGAATCAGAGTCCATGCGGGAGAGCTTCTCAACTGATGGGGTTTTGGCGTAGAGCTCTCGGGCGTATAAACTGACTGGCCGCAAACAGGAAATGATCCAAGAACGACAATACATTACGTAAGAGGCATACCGTAGGTGCAAGAGCTCAACGCTTTGGAGGTTTTGAGTTACACCAAGGCACCTTACATGTACTCGTATCAGGAGGGAAGCGCAGATGGTCTTTCGTTAGAACGGTAATACTAGGCAGCAAATTATGTGGATAACTCTAGAACTCTAGCTAGATCTACCGGGGAAGGAAGAACAAAACTAGTGTCTATAGACGTACTTTATGGCTTGACTTAGAGGGTCATCATTCATTCATTCATTCTGCACCCTATTGCAACGCATCCTTTTCTTCACCTCTAGACGTGCAACTCTGTCCGTCTCTGACCGAAGACATCGATAGAGACGGTCTGCCTTTTTGTAATCTGTGTTGCCATACAGAGCCATCTGCAACTCTACCTTGGTCATTTTCATAGCAACAGTCCCTGTCAAGTTCCGTGGAACCGATGCCCGGTCGTCTATGAGATGTCTGCTAACGAGCCAGTCGCAGAGGCTTGTGTTGTCCCACCTTCTGGGAGGTACTGGCAGTACCTTTGGTGTTGTATTGCCGCTCGTTGGTGATGATGAATCATCTGAAAAAATGCTTTCATAGGAATTCGTGTTTTTCAAGGTTGGCGCGGTTTGATCTGGATTGTCGGCCTCAATGACATGAAAAGTGGCATCTTCCCGCAGGCCTTCCCTCAAACAGCGAGTTACGGTACTATGGGAGTAGGGTGGACCATTGTTGTCGTTGTTGCTGCTGATGTTGCCACCAATTGTGCTTCCGGCGTATTTGGAGGCGCGAAGACACTCTTTGAGCACCCGCATACTGGCATCCACTTTGCTGGAGGGACCGGTGCAATCTAGCAAAGTTAAGGTGCCTTTCCGAATCGATGAAGGAGCCTCGGGAGGTGGCAGAATAACGATGCGGCAGATTAAATGACGAGAGAACCAACCACCATCTTTGTTGTTGCTGTTGCCCTTTCCTCCAAAGTTACCGTTTGTACGTCCCATGGCGGTGACAATGTCATCAAAAAGCGCTTCCGGTGTAGCAACAACCTTGGACAGAGCTCCCACATATTTGACCGAACCATCGTCCGTGTCAAGGACTCTGACTGGAGACGGCGATTCTTCATCGAGCAGATCCACGCACAGATTCCCACAGAGCTCCACGATGGTGACTTTCACACTATGATTGACCGGCAATGACGAAAATATGCGTTCGGTGACTACGGGCAGCACAGCCTCCAGAGTGTGTCTCTTTCCTGCTGGCGAGTGTTCAAATATCAGCAGAGTGGCAATTCCTCCACTCTTGGCAGTCTCCACCAGGGAGATGCAGTCACGTGTTTGTGTTTCCATGAGGGGTTCATTGCGGCTGGAATTTTGTCGACTGGGTGTTTTTGTTCTGAGAGACCCGAGTCCAATTCGAGCGGCAATGATTTCTCGATCACTGGCAGAATCGTTGCTTCGCTGAACCACACGAGGTGACGGTGGAAGCTTGGGTGGAGTAAAGAATCCATCGGAATGGTCGATGGTGGAATGTACGGGTGCTGGTGCATTTGTTGATGGTGCAGATGTTGAGTGGGGGAATTCCTCTTCTTCTGTCGGTACCAGTATTGGATCATCTGGCTCGTTCAGCGCTGCTGTTATAGTGGACAAATTCACAGATGGAGAGATGTTTCCCAATAAACTCTTCCACATGGTGTCGCTTGCTTGTTCCAAAAGCTCCACTCAGTCAGAATTCAATCAATCTTCCTGGTGCAAGCCCTGGTTGCTTGGAGGACGTCGTTGTGTGGTGGTGTCCATCTTCCATGCAGGTGATGCTCACTGTGCTTTTTCAAAATGGAACGCTAACCCTAGTAAAGATGTGCTTTTTTCTTGGACGGCCACATTCATTGACATCCATCACTTTTACTCACAGCTGCTGCCATTGTCAAGACAACAGGAGATGCCATGTCTTTCTCTTACGAACAGCAACAGCTCCAAGCGGAGTTTGATCAAGAAACTAGTAGTAGTATAGCTGATGCTGACGAAGGTTCCTCTTCGCCGGTATCATTATTTCTGCTGTTTTGCAATGTTCTTTGGTTTCTGGTGGCCGCTGGCACGTACATCTACTTTCCTCGTCTGGTAAAACTGGGACAGCGACGGCAAGAGCTTGGAAAGTGGATTGCACTGGTGCGGCAACAACGAGACAAAAAGGTTCACAAGGTACTCTTGCAGCAGCAGAAACGAGTTGAACCAAACGAAAGTGATGATTGTTGGAAGACGGCCACACAGACGCGACACGAAATTCTGCAAGGAACATTGCAAGCCCACGAAAACATCTCCCTGTTGGCCCATCGGTGTCGTAAGTTTGGTCGGAGCAAACAGATCAATGCCATTACCGAAGAACTCTACGATGAGGCATTTCAAGCGGCATCAAACTTGGCAAACTTTCAAGAAAAGGACGGCATTGAGCCTCCTCCCCTGTTTGGAGTCCCAGTGTGTGTCAAGGAATGGATTGGCGTCAAGAATACGTATGCTACGGCGGGCATGACATGTCGTCTCCTTCGTCCCGACAAACAGGATTGTCTCTTGGTGGAAACACTTCGAACGGTTGGTGGGGCCATTCCACTCGTCAAGGGAAATGTTGTGCAAATGCTCATGCTTGCCGAAACACACAATCGCATTTGGGGCACAACCACCAATCCTTATGATCTGGCGCGAACTCCAGGGGGGTCATCAGGAGGTGATGCCGCTTTGGTGGCAATGGGATGCGTACCCTTGTCCGTCAGCTCCGATGGAGCCGGGTCTATTCGAATACCGGCATGCTACTGTGGCATTGTTGGATTCAAACCAACCACTTGGAGATCGTCGCTGAAAGATTGCATCAAGCCTCGTTCGGAGGATAAACATGGCATATCCATTGCGCTTTCCACAACCATTGGACCCATGGCCCGGTGTGTCGACGATTGCATCCTTTACATGAAGGCGATTTGTGTCCCGCACTTGTTTCGAAACGCAGATCCGGCGCATTCACCACCCGTACCGTTCCGTTATGAGGAGCTCTACAATCAACCAAAAAAGCTCACCATTGGATACTTTGAAACGGATGATTGGTATGAACCGTGCACCGCATCCAAACGAGCCTTGCGAGAAACCATACACAATCTACAAACAATGGGTGGACACAAGTGTGTACGGTTCGAACCACCGAGCAATGGATGGGACCACTTCGGATTGCTTATTCGAATCAATGCTTCCGAAGGAATTGGAAGGGTCGTGCGAGAAGCGTTAGATGGGGAACTACCCATAGCGGAAATTCAAACGATGCTTTGGGCAGACATGGTACCAATACCCCTTTGGGCTGTGCCTATAATAACGTGGTTGATTCGGCTGGTCATGGGGCCTCGAATGGCACATTTGTTCCAAGCCAGCAGTAAGTGAAACTCGTTGGGTGTGCGTTGCTTTGTGTACCGTATCACACGGTGGATTTGTTGGGAGCATGTTGTTTGGAAACGACTTCAATCCTCCCTCATACAAACTTTTGAAAATGTCAACAATCAAACACACCATGACAGAGGATATCTCCACCGTCTATCAGGTTTGGCAAGCAATGGCCGACTTGATGGAACTACGAAGCAAATGGTCAGACGCAGTGAAGGAGGCGGGGGTGGATGTCATTCTGCACCCGGCCATGCCAACACCTGCACCATTTCTGGGAACTGCAAAGGACAATCCAAACGTCAGTTACATGCAAATTGCGCCTTTGTTAGGATGGCCCAGTGGAGTGGTGCCAGTGACAACCATTCAACGCGACGAACAACATTTCTATAATGACAAGACAAAGGGGGAAGCTCTTCCCAGAGATCAGACAGATCATTTTGCGCGAGCGGCCGCCAAAGTCATGGAGAAAAGGTAAGAGACGAACTACGTGGGCGCTTCCCTTCCTGTGGCACTGCGTTGTCTCACATTGCGTTGCAGTTCTGGGCTGCCAATGAGTGTCAGCATACTGGCACCAGCATTTCGGGATGAGACATGTCTCTACGCGATGAAGGAGATTGAAAAAATTGCCAACTTTCAATCCAAACCGCAGGCATATCTACAACCCGTCAGCTAGCTACCAGGTAGCTGCTTTAAAATAGAGCATGATTGGGTTAGCAGCCACGGATTAAGTTGTTGGTATGTGGGTTGGTGTGTGCAGGGGCTGGTTCAGTACCGGTACCGGTAGTGGCTAATGTCTAAGTAGAAACTTCATCGAAAACAAATGGATGGCATGGGCAGTGCTCCGTTGGCTTCAGAACCCCAAGAGATCCCAGCCCAGTCAGCTACAGGGTGCGAGTCGAGTCCCGACGTTTTAGCTGTTCCACTTAAACCTCGTCGTCCGCACCAGATAAAAGAAAAGCAATGAGACTGGGGCGCGTCGATATGTCAACTCTTCAAGACCAACGGTGCTAACGGTAGGCACCTCTACCATGTCATCTACCGGTTGCATGAAGTAGTCGCGATGCGATTTTAAAATATTATGTATTTCTAACTTTTACGTAAGCGTAGAGTTGCAAAAGATGAGCACCCCGATAAAAATGTTGCTTGAGCTTCTGCCCACATCGTTTGACTCTCTAACTTCTAACCACGTTCCAGTTGGTGTCGTGGACTATTGTAGGAGGCTTCATGTTTCCTTGAGCCAGTGCCAAAGCATGCTTTATTTGCTCCCAGAGCAAGCTCCTGTCAAGCTCGCCGTCGAAACCACTCGGGATGTCGCCGGTGCTACTGCCACCTGAATAGGTTCCACAACCCCTCACAAGAAAAACGTTGTCTTGTCGATCGGTCCGGCTGGCCTTCTCCCACTCGCGAAACTTTGCAACAAACCCACCTTCCGACAATTGGAGGTCGTCAAACAGTAGCACCGCGCCCCACCGGTTCGCTTTCAGGAGCTGCAGTACTTCGTTCCGTTCATTCACTGTGACAATCTTCCACCCTAGAGCGTCCATGTTCCTTGCAAATGCGTCGGCTTTCGTCATGCTCTGCTTGGTTCCCAAAAGGCACACCTTTTCGGGAATAACGTTCGCCCTGGACACGAGTTCGGTCAGTTTCAGGCGCTTCGACGAACGCATGTCACCTTGCCCGCCCGACTTCACTTCCACCTCCATGTCGTCTCTGCCACGAGTATTAGTAGTTCGCCGCGGAGTGGGCGTATTACTCATAAGCTTGTCCATCGCCTCGTCCGGAGGTGACCTTCCCCAATTCTTGTCGGAATCAGGAAAGACGAATTGATTTCGTCGCATTGGGATCTTGTCCAGTATAGCACTTAACTTTTGCACTGCCTGCCCAGTGCACAATTCTCCAATCACTTTGGTTGTCATGGGCTTGGCTCGATATTCATTCATACCTGCCGCGAGCCCCATACTGATATCTGCCTCGTTGGCGTAGGCGGACATTCCAATAATGTACTGGGAGAACTGCGGCCGGTGCTTTTGTTCCCACTGACGATAATGTTGGACGCATTGAGGTCCACTCAAATTCGGCATCATGAAATCGCAAAATGTCACGTCAAAGATCTTGTCCTGCAACTCTGCCAGTCCTTCGACTCCATCAACCGCTTGAAAGACTTCGTATCCCTTTTTGGACAGAGCACGTGCAATGCTCTTCCGAACGACCGTCGAGTCCTCGATGACAAGAGCTCTTCTATACCTCGTTGGCTTGGAGGAGGAGTCTTCAGTTGTCATTGCAATGTCCATTTTATGGGCAGCAGCAGCGGAGTTCTTTGGAGTCTCGGATGATGACGATGAAGACCCAGTCACTGTCGCCGCTGACCTGGCTTGTTTCATTTCAATGGGATGAATCGTGGAGGAGAGAACCTCTTGCTCGACGTGGGTCGTGGTGGTGCACTTGTTGGCATCCGTGATGGGTGAGACCACTGCTGGCGCGGGTGGTTGCATCATCATGGATGCGTCTGCCTCCTTGATGGGAATGGAGAACCAAAAGTAGGCTCCCTTTTTGGGCCGCCCCTTGGAGTCGATGCTTTGAGGTGACAAGCCATGTGATCTGTACCCGTATTTGCCCCCAAGAGCGCTGACTTGTGATGCCAAGGAATTCAATCCCAACGTCGACATTTCCTGTTCCATAGCCGTAGTCCCACACTTGTTGTGCAGACAATCGTGGTCTGCTGCAACTACTGCAGTAGCAGCGGGACGACTATCTTCGCACTCAAATACGAGCTGCCCCAGCCTTTGAAAGACACGGAATTGGATCTGACCATGAAACGTCTTGGAGCAAGCGCTGGACAATAGATTGAGCGAAGCTCTGAGGATCTTGACGTCATCGCTCATGATGTGTAGCGGTACATCCGGCTCTACCGAAAAGATGACTGGAACTCGTTTGGGCAGAGGATCAATAATGCCATGGAGTCGCTGCATGCATTCTTTCACGTCCACACAAGCAGAAGACGCAGTGCCGTCGTCGTTGCCGCTGGTGAGAAGAGCAGTGTTCGTTCCGCTGCTCGGCTTGGCTTTGTCTTGTTTCTTTTCACATGTATTGGAAGTAGCTAGTGAATGTTCCGTTTCTTCCAAATGTTGCAGTGTTGTAGTGCATATCTGCTGCATCATATCGGCGGTGGCCATGGTGGTGGCTAGACTCTTTTTGTGTCGTAGTTCGAGTTGTTTCTGCAAGCCTTCATCGGCCTGTAGTGTTTTGAGTGTTTGTCGCATCCCCGTGAGCGGAGTGATGAGATCATGTGCTGCCGAGGCAACGAGCTGCGAAGCGTCTCTATTGACCTTTTGTTTGATTTCTCTTCTATCGACCATTGCCTTCATTGCCATGGCAGCAAAGTCCTTCAAATTAGCCTTTTGAGCATCTGTCATGCCATTGTGCCATGGCTTTGTATCTACAATACAGTAGGTTCCCAATCTGTGTCCTTCCGGCGACAGCAGCGGAACTCCTGCATAAAACCGCAGGTGTGCCTCACCAGTGACATAGACGGAATCGCGAAACCGATAGTCCTTTGTACAGTCGTTGACAATGAGCATGTCCTCCTTGTGCATGATTGTGTATCGACAAAATGCCAAATTACGAGGACCATCTCGAGAATCGCCCAGTCCATGTTGCGACGCGAACCATTGTCGTCCAATATCAATCAGAACCACAAAGGTCAATGGAACATCGAATACTCGAGCACCCAGATCACACAGTCGATCAAACGCCTCTTCTCGTTCGGCACCGACAATCTGATAGGACTGGAGGACTCTCAAACGCTGGACCTCCTTGGCAATCGTTTGAGGTTCTGTGGTTTCCGCGTCGTAGTTGGTCAACGTCCAATCCCAATCATCGTCCAGAGACACTTCTTCTGCGTCGTCCTCTGCTGCTGCAGTGTCGTCCATTCGCTCGTCGTCTGCTGCGTCGCGATGCTCTGCGCAGTCTTCGCGAGAAGCAATATTCATGTTCATGAGCGCCAAACGAAGGTCGTCCTCCGTGTCAAAATTGACGATCGAACGACCTGCGGCTTCTGTTGGTGATGTTGACAATGACATGGTGGATATGTTCAATGTGTATTTGTAGTGGGGATTGCGATGGTTGGAGGCAAGGATAGATAAAGGAACGGGAGAAGACAGAGCACTATACAATCGCCACGTCGTTTTCGTGGTGGTTCTCGGTGCAGCCTGGGTATTATTAACAGCTTGTGTTTTTTCCGACGCAACAAAGCAGCGTTGCCTTTTCTTGCTGCTTGTACAGATGGTTGGGTCTTTAGAATAAAATTGTTGCTTCTTTGTGTTCCAGCCCAATATGGTAGAGCTGGAGAACCACCAGCTATTACGAGTAGCTTTATACTCTTTAACTGCAATTCAATGGCCGATAAGCAGTGTTTGGTGGGCCCAGCAACAACTGCTGCCTGTTGTTCTTCGATCGAACTCAAGTTTGGAAAATTGGTGCGAGAGAAGTGGGAGTCAGAGTCAACCAGATGTTCAAGTCGCGTTGCGTAGTGCGCGCTATGCCTTGTATCAGCCTTCCTACGAATATTTATCTATATTCCATGCTAAATAGTATCCAAGACTGCTTTTGGAGTTTATTTTGGGAAGCTTCTTGGCAGCTTCTTGTATTCTCTTTTGACGCGCCCCTCAGGGTCTCTTGATGGCCAAGATAAGTAAGTCCGCTTTCGCATTGTCCCTTGCAGCCGTGTCCATTCAAACCGCCAGATTATTACCGTTTATTTTGTAACAAATGATTGCAAAATGTACATAATATATAATTTTACATAAATGATTACTCTATGTACTTTATTTTAATTAAAAAACAGAATTATTGTTTGACACAGGATAGAGCATAGAGTAGGAATTCATATTTTTCACAAACAACTGGTAGGTATAGTGACTTTCGCAATGTCTTGAATCATTCCACAGCATGTGTATTTAAGTAACAAAAACTTAGGTCCGAACACCTAGTAGCCATTGGACATTATTGTGTCTTGCGGACCGACGCGAACTCGAGCACCGCTGTAACTCTCTTGTCTCTAGCTTGCTACCAGCTAGAGCTCGCTCTTGCTAGCCACCTGGAAGCTTGAGTGATTCGAAAAATAAATTTAATAGACCTATCTTTCTTAATTAAATTCAAAGGGCCGTCGTACGATGTAGGTACCCCGGTACGTACGCTGGTTGCTTTTAGGAGTTCTCCCGAGCAGAACTTCAAAGGCGGTCTGGATCAAGGAATTGGCTTCAACTTCCAAATGCGCAAGATCAACTCGAAAACTCGAACCGCATTCATTCGCACATATTATTACGGTAAAGGTATCTGCTCCCCATGAAACTGGGAATACAACCGTGTACATGGAGTACCAGGCTCTACGTGTTACCCTGTCTTTCCCTTTGTTTTGGGTGTTTCTACCTTTCTCGACCTTC